GGAGCACTGGGAATGCATTGTCACGTCTGTATTTATGCATTAGGGTGCCATTCTAAATGAATGTCACTGCAATGTATAGCTTAATGAGTGTTACGGCCTACAGGTACAACAGTTCCGTTCTGAACAAGGTGTTTATCATTTATATGAGTTTTTATTTTTCTGTGTTGCTACCTAACCTTTAAATCCTAAATACTTTAATAATATAATTGAAATGTCCCATGGAGAAACCAATTAAACGTATTCTTGACATTTTTCTTTTCCATCACTGTGCTGGCGTTGTTGCACAGCAGTCATCAGATAACATTATTTCCTTGTTAGTGTATTACACTCTGATGCTGCAAAGTACAACCATTTATTACCTTTTAATTGTAGAAGACCTGCAGGGCACATGTGTGACTAACCATATCACATTCCGCTGCCTATACATGACCAAGCAGCCCTATTACTAATTGCTAAAACTAAACCTTCTCAATACAATGAGCCCTTAACTAAAAAATTAAAGTTCCGCTCTAACCTATACCCCTAAAAATTACCTGTTGACTTAATCCTAAATATAATGTAACCCTTAAAGTGACCTTCAGGGTCACAATTAAAACAACCTCAGCAGATTAAAAAAGATGCTATATACAGTATTTACCTTTGTCATGGCTTATTTTTTTTTATCTCTGCCATGTTACTGACCCCTGGCCGCTGCAGATATCTGACACTTTTAAGTATGTTGAATACCTGCCCCTACTGCAGCATACTGTGGATCCTTCCTTTGGTTTGCAGATTTTCAATACAGTTATTGCCATAACTTTGCAGTCTTAAAGAGATAAACTTCCTGAAAAATCTTCTGTATCTGACACTTCTGGGAGTGTCAGATGCTGTCATTTTCCACTGCATTCAGTGGTTTAATCCACCATCTCCTACATCAATGCAAGACCAGGGGCAGACTGACCATTTGGAAACTCGGGCACTGCCCGAGGGCCCCGGGCCAGTAGGGGGCCCCATGAGATGCCCCTGGTACCTTTTTCATAGGTTTTTTTGGGTTTGGGCAAGGACACAGGGGCCCCATGATCCCCTATTGCCCGGGGGCCCCATGAGTTGTCAGTCCGCCCCTGTACAGGACACAGTAGTAACATAGGGGCTGGTAGAAGAAACCACAGATCACAGCAGGGGATAGGACATCCTGTGTGTGACGTGAATGCTGAGCTTTTTTCAACATAGTTATTTCTTCAAGACAACAAAGTTTGGGCTGCAGGAATGGTAAGTAGTTATTCTTTTCACCAAAATTAAAGAAAAAAAGGGATATCAATGCAGTCAATACTTTAAAATTAATATAACACTGGTGGGCATCATCCCAAAGACATTGCAAATAGCACCAAACCAAACTAATTAAGAGACTTTAAATACGCCCTACCAGAGGTATACTAATACCAGATGGCAAGAAACTTTTATTTTAGTAAAGACAAAGAAATCATTTTATTACATACAAAAATGTAAACCAATTGCAAAATCCTCACTCAAATAGGGTATTGGAATTCACAAGCTATGTCACAAGCTAAAAAATAAAAGTTCAGATCTAACCTAAACCCCTAAAAATTACCTGTTGACTTAATCCTAAATATAATGTAACCCTTAAAGTGACCATGTCACTTAAGGGTCACAGTTAAAAAAAATGTACCTTTGTCATGGCTTATTTTTTTATCTCTGCCATGTTACTGACCCCTGGCTGCGGCAGATACAGTTGCAAGAAAAAGTATGTGAACCCCTTGGGATTACGTGGAGTTTTGCATGAATTGGGCATAAAATGTGTTCTGAACGTCATCTAAGTCACAACAATAGAAGAACACAGTCTGCTGAACATAATACTACACAAGCATTAGATGTTGCCATGGTTTAATTGCACATAACATGTAAACATTCACAGTGCAGGGAGGAAAAAGTATGTGAACCTTTGGACTTAATAACTGGTTGACCCTTCTTTGGCAGCAATAACCTCAACCAAACGTTTCCTGTAGTTGCAGATCAGACCTGCACAACGATCTGGAGTCATTTTGGACCACTCCTCTTCACAAAACTGTTTCAGTGTAGCAATATTCTTGGGATGTCTGGTGTGAATCGCTCTCTTAAGGTCATGCCACAGCATTTCAATCGGGTTGAAGTATGTTGAATACCTGCCCCTCCTGCAGCAAGCTGTGGATCCTTCCTTTGGTTTGCAGATTTTCAATACAGTTATTGCCATAACTTTGCAGTCTTAAACTTCCTGAAAAATCTTCTGTATCTGACACCTCTGGGAGTGTCAGATGCTGTAATTTCCCGCTGCATTCGGTGGTTTAATCCACCATCTCTTACATCAATACAGGAGACAGTAGTAACATAGGGGCTGGCAGAAGAAAACCACAGATCACAGCGGGGGATAGGACATCCTGTATGTGACGTGAATGCTGAGCTTTTTTCAACATAGTTATTTCTTCAAGACAACAAAGTTTGGGCTGCAGGAATGGTAAATAGTTATTCTTTTCACCAAAATTAAAGAAGAAAAGGGATATCAATGCAGTCAATACTTTAAAATTAATATAACACTGGTGGGCATCATCCCAAAGACATTGCAAATAGCACCAAACCAAACTAATTAAGAGACTTTAAATACGCCCTACCAGAGGTATACTAATACCAAATGGCGAGAAACTTTTATTTTAGTAAAGACAAAGAAATCATTTTATTACATACAAAAATGTAAAACCAATTGCAAAATCCTCACTCAAAAAGGGTATTGGAAATCACAAGCTATGTCATAAGAGGAAGCTTAATGTACAAAAATCAACTCTATCAACCTAAGCGTTCCGCAGAACTGCCGCTCAATCAGGACAATGGATAAAGCTTTCTTATGCCACTAATATAGAAGAGCGGTGATCCATCTCCTACTGTTGGAATTATGAAAAAACAGACATACACAAACAGATATAACAATTGGACTCTAGCTAAGCCCCCCACTCGGCCTGTGGGGGAACATGTAATACCTGGGCAAGAGAGGAAGGTCTGCTGGAAAAACACCCCAGGTTCTTGCAATGCCTTTTAGGAGGTGCTATCAGGTTAGAGTTCACAGAGGAAGGAAAAACTGCCAGAAGGGAAGAGAGGCAAAAAATGAAAGTTCATCACATAATATACCTTCAGGAAAATATGACCAAAAATAGTCCCAAGCAATGTCCTTCAAACTAACTCTGCATCGTAGCTGTAGCATACCAACTGCCAGCAGCTTGATTGTTTTTTTTTTTGTAGGAAGCATTTTTTACAGGTTTTCACATTAGCAATAGAGTTACCTTAAGCAGTGTTAAAAAAAGAACATTCTCCACTCATGTCAGCCTTGCAATGAACAAAATGCATGCCATTTATAAGGCTTCATTCTTCTATCAAGCCATATTTATAGAACACCAGTCCACCATAGTGACTTTTACTGATTGTCCCCATCTTCCCATCTTATTTCAGAACAATATGTTTCCATAGAATATAGTTCTCCTTTAAACCACAAAAAAGACATTCTGAGGCAGCAGTTCTAGTATTTAACTACATAAATATATCCTCGCTGGGTGTCTCTGGGCAGATAGTGTATCAATATGTCAGCGACAAATAAAACTGCGTTTTGCCTAAAACTTTGAATCAGTTTCTACTCTGTGTAATTATAGCATTTGGCAGCCAAGATCCAATCCCGCTGCCAAAAAACTAAGAACCAGAGAGGTAAATATTCCACAGCTTGTACCGAAAATGGAGATTTAATGATTTAATGTTTGTTGAATAGAGAACTATCCGCCAGCTCCTGGGGTGCCTTAGCACCTAAAAATGGAGAGTCGACATTTAGAGCATCTGAAAAACCTTTATCTTGCATTTACCTTCATGTATCACAGACCTACAGTTGCAGATCAAGGTTTCAAAATGCACCCCACTTAGAGTTTGGAGTTTTGCACTTAATCTGACTCAGGAGACATTGCCTACCCACTGAGCGGCCCTAATCTTCAACTTGGCAATTACCTTCTGCACCTGGCTGCAAAATCTGACCTGCTATGCCCTTCCCAGGTCCTCTAATCATGCGTCTTTGTATTTGCAATTCTATATAACTTATATGATATACATAAGTGTATTTTATGTGTCATTAAGTTCACACGGGGAGCGGTAAAAATAGGCAAGTGATCTGTGTTCTTTTGTCCTTATGGCGGCCATTCAGTTCTATCTGCATTGCCACAACCGCCATGCTTTTTGGCGTGGCAAGTTTCTTTTGCTCAATCTATATTTATAAAGAAGGGCACAAAGTGATCAAGGTTAGAGACGGGGGAGGTTATTTATTAAATTTGGAGAGTGTAAAATCTGGTCCAACTCTGCATAGAAACCAGTAAGCTTCCAGGCTTTATTGTCAAAGCTTAATTGGACAAGCTGAAGTTAGAAGCTGATTGACTACCATGCACCAGATTCTGAGTGCACCAGTTTTAGTAAATCCCCCCAATCTATTTCATGCCACAGACATAAACATAATAACAATTTGTCATTTAAATTAACGCATCAAAACACATTTGACTCACTTGTATAACAAATTAAGTGACATAATGCTAGAACAAATATGAGTAAGTAACATCTAATGTAAAGTATAGGACACAGCTCAAAACTGAACCTAGCGCTCATAGAATATGTTAGATTATGTGGCCTCTGCCAGTGCCACTCCCGCTGTACCCTCTAACGGATTACTCCCCACCTACAGAGGTGACAAACCCCCCGGCAGGTGGAGCAAAACATGTCACAGATGTGACCAGAGCAGCATTGGCTGAGGTCACCGGTTTTAGTAAATCTCCCCCAATCTATTTCACATGCAGCCGGAGTGGCACTGGCTGAGGCCACGTAATCTAACATATGCTATGAACACTGGGTTCAGTTTTGAGTGGTGTCTTACACCTTACATTCAAGCACTCCAGGAATAGTTAATGAATACCTGCTCCCATTTCGTGGACACCGGTAGAGAAACATTACAGCCCAGGGGTGGACTGACAACTCATGGAGCCCCCGGGCAATAGAGGATCATGGGGCCCCTGTGTCTTTGCCCAAACTCAAAAAAAGCCTATGAAAAAGGTACCAGGGGCATCTCATGGGGCCCCCTACTGACCCCGGGCCCTCGGGCAGTGCCCGAGTTTCCAAATGGTCAGTCCGCCCCTGTTATAGCCTCTGCTTGGAACAGCACTTCAAGCTTTTCATTACAAATGATGTCTAATGATACATATCCATGGAACAATATTACAAAAGTCGTAGAGACACTGTTTGCAGAACGTTTATAAACAGGAAAATAAAGGGAGTAAAGAGAATAAAAGGGAAAGAGAATGGGAAGGAATTGTGGTTGAAAAAGGTGTTGTTAAATTATAGGGATGGAATCTCTCTCCTGTCCTCTTATGTGAACGGGAACCTCTGACCCTTCTGCAACTCAATTCCCAAGAAGTAGGTACTGAAACTCAGGAGAAACAGCAAATTTCTGCCAATAGAAACAGGTCTTTCAAAATGTATCATGGGTACCTGTATCTGAAGTAATCAGGCCTTCCATGTGTTCAATATAATTAACTCTGAGCTCCCAAGTAGCTATAAAGGGTGCCTGAGACTGTTTTCAGAAAGCTGGGATGCAACGCCTAGCAGCATTGATCAGTTGAGGGAGTACTAATCACTTATACACATTCTTGGGGAGGTCATGATGCAGTAAGTAAAATGGGGGGTTGTAGTTAGTGGCAGTCAGTAAACTTTTGAACAACGTTGCACACTTTTGTCCAGAAGTCATGGAGAATTGGGCATGACAAAAAAATATGTAGGATCCTGCCTGGGGCTGAATGGAATCCCCGCCATAGGTCAGGGGTAGTAGGGAACATAGTGTGTCGAACCACAGGGGCCTTGAACCAACAGGTAAGAATTTTATAACCCAATTCCTAAATTGGTGTGGCAATTTTAAACTCGCTATGCTGAATTTGACAGGCAGCAACGCTGTAAAACGGAACAATTGAATTCAATGGGACCACATCACAACCTTGTGCCAAACATAGCTATGGACTTTGCAGTGTGCTATTTTAATGGAAATCACTATTGATATTGAAAAAAAAAATGGCATTCAGGAGCTGGCAGTACTGGTTGATCTGGAAACATGATATTTTTGTGAATGTTTTAATTACCTAGTTCTTTGATATACAACTTTTGCCATAATAAAGAATGTAGCTTTTTTTAAAAATATGCATTTAATGCGCTAAGCTTCTTTAATTAAAAATCCCCATTTATTAATATATTATTCAGAGGTCTGGGCACTATGACCAATATAGTCTTACATTTACTTACTATGCTGATTTAGAGATATTCTGCAAGTGCTCAGCCTCCCACTGTGCATATAATCAGAGGTTCTAAACCTTCCCCACTTGATACAAACAATAACCTTTTAAATACATCCAGCCTATCCTTGTGAAACGGTCCAGAACTCAAAATTTTTAATTTTTTCTTTTAAGAGTTTTATACAGCAGAATGTTTATTGTTACAGATATTTAAAGGCTAATTCCATGTTTTGAAAACATTCAATAAGTGCACCTACAGTTGCAAGAAAACGTATGTGAACCCCTTGGGATTACGTGGAGTTTTGCATGAATTGGGCATAAAATGTGCTCTGAGTCACAACAATAGAAGAACACAGTCTGCTGAACATAATACTACACAAACATTAGATGTTGCCATGGTTTAATTGCACATAACATGTAAACATTCACAGTGCAGGGAGGAAAAGGTATGTGAGGCCCTAGCTTAATGTGGACAGATGAAACCAAGATGGCGGAGGGATCATCATGGTTTGGGGCTGCTTTGCTGCCTCAGGGCCTGGACGGATTGTTGTCATTGATGGGAAAATGAATTCCAGAGTTTATCAAGACATTTTGCAGGAAAACGTACGACCATCTGTCCACCAACTGAAGCTCCGCAGAGGATGGGTGATGCAACAGGACAATGACCCAAAGCATACAAGTAATTCAATAAAACAATGGCTGCAACAGCACAGAATACGCCTTCTGGAGTGGCCCAGTCAGAGTCCTGACCTCAACCCGATTGAAATGCTGTGGCATGACCTTAGGAGAGCGATTTACACCAGACAGCCCAAGAATATTGGTACACTGAAACAGTTTTGTGAAGAGTGGTCCAAAATTACTCCAGATCATTGTGCAGGTCTGATCTGCAACTAGAGAAAATGTTTGGTTGAGGTTATTGCTGCCAAAGGAGGGTCAACCAGTTATTAAGTCCAAAGGTTCACATACTTTTTCCTCCCTGCACTGTGAATGTTTACATGTTATGTGCAGTTAAACCATGGCAGCATCTAATGTTTGTGTAGTATTATGTTCAGCAGACTGTGTTCTTCTATTGTTGTGATTTAGATGACATTCAGAGCACATTTTATGCCCAATTCATCTAAAACTCCACGTAATCCCATGGGGTTCACATACTTTTTCTTGCAACTGTACATTGATTAATAAAAAAAAGTTGGTGTATTATTTTTTTGCGTTGGAGCCCACAAAACACTGCAAGCAGCACAATCAATGTAGATTATTTCTCCAGCCGCAGGTCAGTACTGAGGTACTGATCTTCAGTTATGGGCTGGAGGTAATATCAATGGACTACAAGTGCAGTGACTCCATTGAGAACTACAAGTTCTACTGCAGTGGCGGCAGATTAAACTTCACCATTAAAAGTACACAAGACATACAAAACATGTGACCAAAGTACACGTTGACAGCTGAGAAGAACATTCTTATGGATTTCTACAATAACAGATGGCATATAGAACATCCTGCCTTATTATAATATCATTGTCATACATTTTCCTATGAAACTTAATCACATGACTCAAATTCTTCATCTTATATTTTAAGAGTTCATAAACTCCACGTACTGTTTCTTTTTTTGAACTTCCATCTGTGCTCTACATCTGCACAATGTTTACATCCTTTTAATGTGTTGTTGTTTTTCTTTAATGGATGCCATTCCTTAAAGAAATGTGGAGGCTGCATTTCTTGACCCCTCAAAAATAACTAGGGCCCGAAATGGACAGCTGGCCTCCTGATGATGTCACAAAGAAGATGGCAGCATGTGAGACCCTGAGTGTGGCGCCTTTTGGTGGCTCTCTTATGCTACAAATACTACATCCCGGAAGAGACAGCTGGCTTCCTGATGATGTCACAAAGAAGATTACAGCATGGGACCCTGAGTGTGGCACCTTTTGGTGGACCTCTCATGCTAAAAATACTAGGACCTATAAGAGACAGCCAGCCCCCTGACGATTTCACAAAAAAAGAGAGCAGTATGGGACCCTCAGTGTGGTGCTTTATGGTGGACCTCTTATGCTACAAATACTAGGATCCAGAAGAGACAGCTGGCTTCCTGATGATGTCTCAAAGAAGCTGGCAGCACAGAACTAGGAGTCTGGTACCTTTCAGTGCACCTCTCGTGCTACAAATACTAGAACCCAGAAGAGACAGCCGACTTCCTGGTGTTGTCACAAAGAAGATGGCAGCACAGGACCCTGAGTGCCGTGCATTTTGGTGGACCTCTCATGCTACAAATACTATGGCCTGGAAGAGACAGCCAGCTTCCTGGTGTTGTCACAAAGAAGATGGCAGCACGGAACCCTGAGTGCCGTGCATTTTGGTGGACCTCTTATGCTACAAATACTATGGCCTGGGAGACACAACCAGCTTCCTGCTGTTGTTATAAAGAAGATGGCAGCATGGGACCCTGAGTGTGGAGCCTGTTAGTGGACCTCTCATGTTACAAATACTATGGCTCAGAAGAGACAGCTGGCTTTCTGATGATGTCACAAAGAAGACGGCAACACGGGACTTGGAGTGTAGCACCTTTCAGTGGACTTCTCATGTTACAAATACTAATACCCAGAAGAGACATCCGGCTTCCTGATGATGTCACATGGAAGTTGGCAACACAGGACCTTGACCGCGGCTCCTTACAGTGGATCATTTTTGGACAATACTGGATTCACCTTGCAGACAAGTATGCCAATCCAGTTCAACCCACCATACCAGCTAGGAAGGTGTTGCCTCACCACCAAAGGTGTAATCTTGGTGACACAGCCACCCATGATAGAGCACAGAATAACACAAATTAACAATATACTATAACAGAGAAAGTGGTACACACCTGTCAGGACAGGTTTGACAAGTTTTACACAAAATGAGCAACCTGGATACACTTGACTACCTCTACAGGGAGCCAGCCATGAATAGCCTAAAAATTGGTAGAAGAAATTTCTCAGAAAATCATTCTCCGATGTTCAACTACCTCCACACATATAACAGATCTGGACCATTTAACTATTTTATTTATTGCTACATGGCCATCCTATTCCCCTCACTCTCATTTCTATTGTTGTGTGTTTTGTTATTGTTATCCTTGTTGTTTTTCAGTTCACTGGTGTTACTGAGATTAGTGATACTAAACGTGCACTGTTTAATTTACATTGTCTCATCTATTTCTGTAAGTCAGGGATCCTGTCACCGTGCAGCCATGCAACGGCAACGGATCCCCTCGGGTCGTGGCGGTGCGAGTGCACATGCATGGGAGCGCGCGGGCGCGCATGCGCAGAAACGCAAAAGTATGCGCATGCGCAATAGCGTACACTTCACCGCAAGGCGGGCTATTTAAACCTGCAATACAGATAAATCAATGCCTTCTGGTCTTCAACGTCCCTGCACTTATTACCCAATTCTGTTGCCTGTATTCTGATCTGACCTGACTAAGAAAGAACTCCGCCTGCACCGACACCGGCTATCCCTGACTATCCACTTGCCTGCTCCCTTGTACTTGATCTGTTCGTTTAATACTGACCCGGCTTGTCTGACTCTGCTGCACCTACTTACCTGCACCTGGCTTGCATCCTGACGGCTGCCAAACTTACCTGCTGCTGCACCCACGGTCCTGCACCTGGCCTGCATCCTGGTCACTACCATACCTGCCTGCTGCCGCATCCACGCTCCTGTGTCCAGTCCCAGTCTGCATACTGATTGCCGCCATACCTGCCTGCTGCTGCACCCACAGACCTGCACCCGGCCTGCATCCTGGTCACTGCATACCTGCCTGCTGCCGCATCCACGCTCCTGTGTCCAGTCCCAGTCTGCATACTGATTGCCGCCATACCTGCCTGCTGCTGCACCCACGGCCCTGCACCTGGCCTGCATCCTGGTCACTGCATACCTGCCTGCTGCTGCATCCACGCTCTTGTGTCCAGTCCCAGTCTGTATCCTGATTGCCGCCATAGCCGCCTGCTGCTGCACCTACGTTCCTGCATCCGCACCTGGCCTGCATCCGGATCTCCTGGGTCCTCAACTACCTGCCACCAGCTCCAGATCTACCCGGCACTCGTGCTACTCCTGGCTCTGCACCCTCTGTTCCCACTATCAGGGGTTCCGAGCGGGAGTTGTAAGACGACGTCTCCTCCCCACGTCAGGCTCCCCAACCAGGTACATGACACTGTATGTGGATGAAGGCACTGTAATTATTTTAATAAAAAAATGAAGTACCTTTTCCTAATGGATATACAGCTGTCAAAAGTCTTTCCTAGCCTGTCTGCAGGATAACATAGAGAGGAGGAGCTTCTCATCCTCTGCTGCTGATCACATGTTCAAAATAAAAAAACAGCCTTTGGAATACAGAGTAAAAATAAATAAATAATATCAATAAACCAGGGTTGTAAAGATTGCATTTGCGATCAGGCCCTGGTGTTCCATCACTGTGGAGGGGACCCCAATATTGTTATCCTGGAGCTTCTTCTTACCCTCATGCCCCCTCCTTGTGGACCGCCCCCCACCCAAGCTGATCTCAGCCGATTGCTAATTTGACGGCTCTGAATCTGTGTGTGTGCAATGCGCATGCACCATTCCGGAGCCGGCCTATTAGTAATCGGCTGAATTGGGTTCTGACTTGGCGGTGCTTGACTTGAGCAGGGAGCCTTTACAGTAAATTTGAAAGCATCTGCAAGGAGGGGGTGCAGGGTAGAAGAGGACCAAGGTCAGTGTGTGACTTAATCATTCTATTGAGGGGGGGGTCACTGATGTAAGAAACGAGTGGAAACCTAAGGTAAGAGGGACACTGATATAACGGTCCCCCCTTATATCAGTGTTCTTATTCCCCTCTTACATCAGTGAACTCTTTTACCCTAGTATATTCACTCTGCAAACTCTGGTGTAAAGGGGAACTCTTGTGTAACAGGTTCTCTGGTCACCAGAGCCCCCGTTACATAAGAATTTCCTGCATTCCCTGTTACATCAGAGTCAGCAGAGTTTACTCTTATAGAGCAAGGGGAACTTTGTGGACTCTGAAGTAAGGAGGAACTCTGCAAACTCTGATGTAAGGGGGGCTCTGGTGACAAGAGAACCTCTTACACCAGAGTTCCCCTTTACACCAGAGTCCACAACATCCCCCTTACATCAGGGTCCCCAGAGTTCCCTTTTGCACTGTAAGGCAAACTCTGCAGACTATGAGGTACTGTAAAGGGGGCTCCGGGAACTCTGATGTAAAGGGGGATTCTAATATAAGGAAGGGGGCTTGCTGAAGAACATGTGAAGGGCTCCCACTGTGGGACCATAATAAAGGGCCCCGCATTGGGTATAAAGAGCCCCAGGCTAAGGTCAGGGGGACCTTTCATGTTTTTTTGTACCGGGGTCCTGAAGATTCTAGTTATGTCTCTGCAATAAACTGTTTTAAATTGGCATACATATATATATATATATATATCTGAAATAAAATCTTTATTATTTTGTGGAAATAACATGGTGTGGCCAAATTTCTGACAGTCACAGGCTGTGCCACTCCCCTCCAGCCTGTGTCTTAGAATAGCAGGGATATGAAGCAACCATTAACCTATATGTAATATCCCACCCACTTTGTGTTTAGCTGGTTAGTGGACATGGAGGACAAGAAAGAAAGAATGGGCTGTGTATACCCCACAGGTGTGACTCTGTAATCACATGGACTGCTCAGATAGCAAGAAAATGCTCAGCATAGAAACTCACTGAAAACTGAGTATGTGCAGAGTTGCCACTACGGGTGCAAATTTCCTAGCTGAATTGGGGACATGAACAGAAGGTGGAGATAGAGAGCAACAAGATCAACCAGGTGTTTCTGCAGAATACAGACTATGAATCTCATATTGACTGAGTATGAACAGCTTGTAGTACAGCATTTATTAATAGTTTTTGTGATGTGGGTTTAGTTACATTTGAAACAAAGTTGCTTCACCCATTACTTTTCTGTATAGTACTGATTTTTTTTGTTTTTTCTTTGGTTTCCCTGACCAAGTGTATTGTAAAGGACTCAGACACTAAATTTCCAGATTATTTTTTCACCTGTGCCTTATACTACTTCACCGTACAGTGACTTTATTACCTTATAATTGTATTCTAGTCTATATTCCAGTTGGATGGGACATGTGTATATTTATGCTGTATCTGTACAATGAAAAAATGAAAAATAAAATCTTATATAAAAAGAAGGGGTTGTCTAGGGAAATTTAAGCTGCCTTGCTGGAGGGCATATTCACAGAGAGAGAAGCAGAAAGATGACTGCCTGGAGGAAGCATATTTGAAGAATCTTCCATGTTAAATAGTATCCAGGGAGAGCTGGACAATGCAAGAACAATTTACTGCTCACAAATCAAGGTACCTGTGACAGCTCTAAAAGGGTCATTGACCTAAAATTGATTAGCGAAAAAGAAATATCCATTGAAAGTTAACAAGGAAAAGTGATTGGTATCACAGTGTCATCACTATTAATTCGGTTGGTCTTAAAGGTCCAAGAACTACTACCAACTACCAGAACCTAAGAAAGGAAAACACAAGCTACACTAAATTGGTATTTGGAAATTGTATATTTGCCCTTCGTCAGCCAGATTTTCTGTTATCCTTCTCATGTATCCTCTATTCCTAGCCCTCACCCCCAAAAGTTTATTCTGCAGTAAGTTCCTAAATAAAGTGACTGGCGCCCAACTGTTTTTCTCTTCATCCTATCAATACACCAATCCATCCCTGAGAGTTACATGCTGGGCTGCCACACTACGTCTGTTGTCATTCTTTATCACCCTTGAGGAGAAGTTCTGTACTTAGAACAGAATGAAAAACAAAAACATCCATTAAGGGCAGTTCTGTGGACGAAAAGGTTTTGTTGACGAGAGAGGTGAGAGGAGAATGGCCAGAAAGGTTTAAGCTGATAGAAAGATTTTGGGAACCCAGATAACTGCTCTTCACAGCTGTAGTGAGAAAACAATGATCTCAGAATACATAGCACAATGAGCCTAGAGGCAGATTGGCTAAAACAACCAAAGACCACATCTGGTTCCACTCTTGTTAGCAAAGAACAAAAAGCTGAGGCTGCGGTAGGCACATACTCACCAGTCAAACAACAAAAAAGAAAAATTCCCAGCTCAACTTGCCAGTCAGCCTGCAAACAAACCGAATTAACCTGTTTAACCATTAGCCGCCCGGCCTATAGCCGTTTGGCGGCCGCAAAAATGCTTTAGCTTTCCGGGGGGTACGCCATTTGGCGTCCTCCCGTACATGCGCATTAGCGCGGTAGCAGAGCCTCGCAGGGCGCAATCTGTCACTGGCCGTGTACCTCGGACATGGCCGATGACAGATCTGAGTACCGGCCCCGTTGCCCGTATCATGTGACCTGCAGTGACCAATCACAGCAGGTCATATGACAGTTGTATACAATGGATGGCTTCATTCATGCCATCCATTGTATACTAGTGCCTAGCTGTGAATGGTCACATCAGGTCACATGCACATGTCATGTGATTAGCTGTGGCCAAATCACAGCTAAGCACAAAAAAAAAAAAAAAAAAACCCTGAATGAATCGATGTCATTCAGGTAAATGCTTGCTTATAGCAAAGTAATTCTTTGCTATAAGCAAATTGTGTAAAAAAAAAAAAATACTGATCACTTCCCCAAAGTAGTACAATGTTACTATGGTAACATTGTACTACTTTGGTCATAGTAAAATATGAAAAAAAAGTCTTAAAAAAAATAAAAAAAATGTAATAAAGAATTAAAAATAATAAAAAAAAAAAAAAAAAGTTTTTTTTCATACTGTCACCAGTCAGTGTTCCTGTTCACCGCCATGCCAGTTATATGATGACGCTGTACTGCATTGGTGACAGTATGTAAAAAAAAAATAGTGAAAATAATTTGTTTAATTTTTTCATTTTCCGAAAAATTATGACAAAAAAAATGCGTAAAAAAACTCGCCATTCCTCTTATGAAGTACGTCAGACTGTCTACTCTGCAAAAAGGGGTCATTTGGGGGATATCTGTACTGTTCTGACATTCTTGGACCTCAAGAAATTAGATTGGCTGTCAGTACTTCAGGATTGATCAATTTTCAGATCTATACCATAGTTTGTGAACTCTATAACTTTCCTACAAACTAAATAATACATCCTAATTTGGGTTATTTTCACCAAAGACATGTAGCAGAATACATCTTGGTCTAAATTTATGAAGAACAATTATTTATTTGTAAACTTTTATAACAGAAACAAAGAAAAACGTTTTTTTTTTTAAAAAAAATTGTTTTTTTTTTTGTTAATTTAGAAAAAAAAGAAAAACCCCAGCGGTGATTAAATACCACCAAAAGAAAGCTCTAGTTGTGTGAAGAACATGATAAAATTTTAGTTTGGGTACAATGTTGTATGACCGCACAATTGTCATTCAAAGTGTGAGAACGCTGAAACGTGAAAAATGGCCTGGGCAGGAAGGTGTAAAATTGCCCGGTATTGAAATGGTTAATAATATGCGGCAAGTTGAGCTGGGAATTTTTTTTTTTTTTGTTGTTTGACGGTGAGTATGTGCCTACCGCAGCCTCAGCTTTTTGTTCTTTGCTAACAAGAGTGGAACCAGATGTGGTCTTTGGCTGACATGCATCACCCTTCCATGTGCTCCTTGCTGTGAAGGCCAGTTATAAACTGGGGCAGTGGACACTTTTTGAACTGTTGAATTGTTGGTCGAGGGGGCGCATTGGACACCTTAGCTGCCATTGTGCTACATGCTGGGTGTCCAGTGCGCTCCTGTACCTTTATGAAGGGGTGGGCTCCCTTAGGTCT